GAGGGGCTCAGGTGTACTAAAGTAGGGAAATTCAAGTCAGCGGACGATGACCATCCCTTGGACTCATGACATTCTCCAATGGCCACTTGAGACAGTTTGTGTAGGGCTCCAGCTCCCCCTGGGGCTCCCCCAGAAATCCAAGGCCGGGTGTTGGTGTACATTTGGAATTGTAAGAGGGGGCCATGTAATATAATAGTTTCACTACTTTTTCTCTTTTGCCTGCTATAGCTCAAAATTATTTTCAAATAACAGTGCCTTTCCAACCCTGTGTACTTAAAAGTTCCCATTATATCACCTGACAGGTAATGGAGACCAGTGAACTTTGTACTCAGATGGACTTTGGTCATTATCTTCTGCTCAGAGGCTGTACTGGTTGTACAGACAGTAGTGGTTGAGCAAATGGACTTTCAGTCCAGCTCCTCAATCACAACTTTGGGCCCCTGAGCCTGTCGCAGTCTCCGCTGCCAGATGTGGGGGTTGGGCTGGAGAACTCTGGGAAATCTGCCAGCCTTGGCATTCTAAGAGCTGGGCCATGGCACCTGAAGTCAAGCCGTGGTCAAGGCAGCTGACCCTTGGGGCATGCCAGTACACATGTCTGCATGTGACCAGCCCCACACATCTCAATACAGGTGTGATTCATGCATTGATTTTGCACGCTTATGATTCACACACCGAACACACCAATAAAAAAAAAAAAATGAGACCAGTACCCAGAGGCCCCTCCCATGCCCCCTTCTGGTGGGCTCTGGAACTCATCATAGATCATGGACCATGGACCCCACTATTCATAATTGCTCTTGCAGGAAAGCATGTGTGTGGTGCATTGGACAGACATGTTAGATTAGCATGATCCTTCCTCTCTGTGGTCTCAGTGCCTACCACAGGGCCTGGTGGGCTCCTATCAAGTATAGTCAGTTCCTTGATTTGCAGTAGCTATGCTCTATAATGTCATCACAAATGCTGATTTAGCAGATACTGAACCATTGCTCCTGGGGAGATACAAGGTGAGGTTCCTGCAAGCCTCTGATCACGGCCTTTTTAGCAGCTGATCAGTACATAACCTTACTGCTCTGTGCATGTCTGCAAATGACCATGAAGGATTACAAGGACCAATTTGGGAGTTTCAAATACATTTTAGCAAATAGGAAAACCCCCAAGTACAGAGTTTTCAAACACCAAGGACCAACTGTATTTGGTGAATTGGTAAAGGCAGGAACAGTGCTAAGTTTAATCTGGAGGTGCAACTAGAGCACAGCCCCATTGTGTATCATTACAAACAAGAGCGTGCTCTGTGAGAAGCCCTGGCTCAGCCTCAAAATACTCAGCATGGCTTTGAGATAAATGCTTGCACAAGTGCTAAAGCTGCCAGGTTCTGTGGTGAGATCACACAGCCTGGCCCTGGGCAGCACCCTCGAAGGGCCACTACAGACTGCCAGCGTATATTGATTAGGAGCTGTCTCTATAAGGCAAAACTGACAGTAGATCAATAATTGCTTTAAAGGAAACAACCTGGACTTTCACCCAGGAAGTCATTTGTAAATGTTCAGTGTGGGTGAGGCCCTCCCCAGCCCCGTGATCCCCTAGTGCCTGTGTACACACCTCGTCAGCTCCAGGTAAACCAGGGCCTGGCAGAGGACCTGGGAGCAGGACAGAAACAGGCGGATGCCCCGTCACCAAAGCACCAAGACACCGCTCTGGCTTCAGCTAGTGTGGATGATGCACCCACGTCAGATCAGAAATCACAGAGGGCATAGTCGGGTCTGTCCTTCCATGGAGAATGCTTTGAAGGGCTGGGAATGAGCTGTTGCAATGTGTTTTTAAGATAACAGCGTAACAGAAATAGAATGGAAGGAGTCTGCCAAAGTATTAACACAGTGCTGCTGGTTGTTGACTTATAGAAAACTTATTCTCCTTTGCATATTTATCTGCTCCCTGAGTATGTACAATGTGCATGAGTACTTTTATAAACAAGGAAGACATTTCATGACAGGAAAAAGGTTCTTAAAACTTGCTGCTTCAAAACTGGCAGCATGTACTAAGTTTAAAGAGGCGCAAGAATCCTGCTGTCCTGCTGTGTTAGCTTAGGGCAGAGCATCTACTTTACTTTCTTAGCCAAAGGGCAAGAAATCCCAGCAGTTTATACAGCACAGCTCATGCCTCTCACTTAGGAGACAGAGCTCTTGACAACTCCCAGCCTGCAGACTCACCGTTGTGTCCTGCCTGCCATGCAGGTTGTAGACCACCATTAGAGTCCCACCATCTCTTCCTCCACTGGACATTACAGGAGTTTTTGTGAATGACAGAAATACTGCCTTAAGGCTGAATTTTAATAGGTACCAAAAGAGAAAAGAGAAAAAAAAGAACCATCACCAATCAGTAAGTCAAAATTAAACAATAAGAGACATCTCTCACAGAGGAGTGGTTCAGTCTCTAGAAATGGTTTGGCATAAGGGTTTCTGAATGGCTAAATTTAGCTCTTCCTGAATACAAAAGATTTGGTTAGCATTGTGTACTGAGGCAGAAGGAGGTAAACAAAGTGTTTTCAACTCCTTTTATTTAATCAGGTGCTACATCTATGTTATCCGAAATTAATGACATTTTGGATATGCTTGATCTCAGAAGCTATTTTATGGTAGAACCTTGACCCTGGGTGTTCCTGCTGTAGAACTGACACAGTGAAAGGTTTTTGGCCCCTGAAATTTGTGTTATCTTTCTCTTCACCTGCACACACCATGTAACCCTTGCCCCTGCCTGCTGTGGGGGCCAGGTGCAGGGTGTGGGGGTGCAGAGCAGAGTGGCCACTAAGGCCTTCTGCTACAGAGCAGGATGGCTCATCACCCAGCTGCTCTGCCTTTGCCCACCTGGACAGGGACGTACCTGTAGGTTACCTGAGGCTCCAGGTGGAATCTCAGGCCTTTCTGAATCATGGTTGGGAGCTGTCTTTTTCTCCCTTTCCCCTGGTGTGTGGACCCTATCTACCACCTGTGCCCTGTCCCCATGGGGCTGTGAAAGGGTCCAGAGGCTATCAGGGTCCCTCTGGTCCACTTGCACTCCTGACTAGGAGAAAGTGGGAAAGGAGAGTGTAGAAAACCAGGGAAGACAATCACTCAGGGTAAAGAGTAGTGGAACCAAAAAAGGGAGAAATGGTCGGTAAAAGGTCCTGGCCGTGTGCCTGGTCCAGCACTGGCAGACGCTGCCATCGCAGGTAGCTTGTCCCGCACTTACATGGTGTGGCCCAGCTGTGGCCCGTACTCCCTTCATGGGTCTGCCCATGAACACAGACATATGGGCACACACTCCCTCACAGATGGGCGATGCAGCAGTGACCCTTCTCTGCTCACAGTGAAATCTGCCAGCACACTCTTGGTGGAAAGAAAGAAAACCACCGGCTCTTACCGCACTGAACGTAGTTGCCTTGTTGACAAGACTGCCATTCCCATGAGCAGACTGGAAGGGAGAAGAATATGATTTGTCTCAGGAGTGAGACGTGAGCCTTGAACACAGTCCCTGGCCTTGGTGCACCCTCGGGGTCCCCAGCCTCGTTCTAGGGCCTCCTCTCACCATAGTCCCCAGGAGCACTGCAGTCTCCTGTTCCACAGAACTTTTCCCAGTCAGTTTTAAATACTCTTTTTGGCTCAAAAAAAGTAATCCAATTGCATGGCATAGGAACTCATCACAGCTATGTCTTGTGCCCTCATAAGAAGAGTAATATGAGTGTCTGGCACCCCATGCTGAGCTACAGGAGGGCTGGAGAGGCAGCCAGAACCTCCCCCCACAACACCAGAGATGCTGGGGCTGCCTGGGCATTGCACAGCTACTGTTCTACCTGTAGATTAAAAGCCAGGATAGAAATTTTCTATGTATACTTCGCTTTGACAAAATTACTCAGAATATTTTGTTGACTGAGGTAATGAGTCTCAGCCCGTAGTCAAATCCTTCTGTCCAGTCTGCCCGTGGTGAGGTGAAGGCGCCTGAGCAGCACGCACTGGGAAGGGGACAGAATGGCCTCACATCCTGGGCCAGGGAAGAGCAGAGGGCAGGGCTGGCGACTTCACCGAGTGTGAAGAAGAGATCAGAGACGTGAATTAAACCTTTTAAGAAAAGTCCAGGCACTAAGAAAAGAGTATGAAAGTCTGTGAATGAGGGATTGATAACAAGGGAGCCGCATGCATGGAGATGATGCCAGTCTTTGTTCTGTGTGGTGGAGGCAGATATTCAGAGGGACAGGCTGGGGGGAGCATTTGAGTCTAGCGTACTTTGGCGAGAACGTACTTTTGAACCTGCAAGAGGCCATTTATTTCATCTGTAGTTTTCCTTGAAAAAATAAAATAAAATTGCTTCTTTTTTCTGTTGATGCAAGTAATAACTTCTCATTGTAGAAAAATATGAAAATACAGAAAAGTTAAAAAGGAGGGTACAGGAGACCACCTCAGTCTTACTACCCAAGATGAGCATGTGACTGTGGGAGAGAACTCAGCAAAACATTATGGTTTTAAAGGCACCATTCCTGTTCTCTCTAGAGCATTGAGGGAGACAGCTGTGGCCATTTTGGGTGTCATTTTCACAAATGAAGGACATGCTTACAATTTTTTAAAAGAAAGGAGGATAATAATGTACCTCTAACTTCCAAGCAAATCAGGAAGTATGTACTAGTCCAAAACGAGAGGTTTTAAAGAAACTTGATATTAAAGAAATCTTATCTATTTGTGCACTTATTTTTATGTCATTCCAGAAAATGTCCCATAGGAGGCAGTTGGCCCTAAAATGTGTATATAGAAGCACTTGTGGCTCAGACTAGAAGAGCATAATTTCCCTGGTGAATCTTAAAATGAGAAAACAAAACCCCCTAAAGAAAAGCAATGGCCTCCCCAGACATCTCTCCCCTTCCCACTCCCCCCCATTACCCTTGCCCCCACACAGTGTCCTCTGTGTGGAAGCAGCAAAAGTGAGACTGAGGAGGGACTAGGACTGTTTTGATCACCCTTTGTCTCTACCCACAGAGAAGGGTGTGCCTCCCACGGCAACGGGGCCTGGAGCGGAGGGCCCGCCTGGGCCACCCTGGATCACCATCACTCCACAAAAGTGGCGAGGAGCCCCAGAGCAGCCACCCCACCAGGAGGACAAGTGTGGGGCCCAGACCCTGAAGTCTGAAATAGGAAAGCCAGCCAAGGCACCCGAAAGAATCCAGGTGCTTAGAGCCAACCTTTCCTGTCTCTGTAGCTGCAGGAGAGAGCAGCCAGCTGGGGTTGGGGGCTGAGACCGCATGAGACCACACACCCTGCATGGTCCTTACAGAGCCCAGGGCCTGTGCTGATAGTTGCTGTCTGCCTGTGGGGTGTGCTGGCTTTTAGGGAGGCAGAGAAGCAGGTGGACCCCTTAGGCGGTGGAGACAGCTCTCTGCTCTCTGCTTCCTAGGCAACGCAGCATCTGGAGAAATGGAACAGGGTTTAAATAACTTCTCAGTTAGATGCAACAACTATATCAAAAGCTCTGTCTCGATTCCTTATGCGGTGATGAACCAGCCCCGCTTTTGCTGTTGCACAGGTTGCCTGCCAGGGCTCCTTACTTCCCACCCAGGACTGCAGGGCTGGAACCCAGAGTTCCATTTTGCAGTCTGGGCTGTAAACAACTTTTTTAAGCGCAGACAGCTGTGCTTCGAAGCAAGCTGAGACTCATGGCGTTTGTGTCTTCCCTGCTGGCCACCACGGTGCATCCACTGGGTGTTTCCTCCATCCAGGGAGGCGAGCCAGAGCAGTAGGACCTGCTTCCCTTCAACCTAACCTGAAGCTCACCTGTCCCCTTGCCTGAAAACCTGCAGATTCAGAGAATTTATAAAACAAATATTAACCAGTGGTCAGGTTTGGGGCCTCTGTGACTATACCAAGTATCATAAAAACCTCAAAAGTATTTCCAAATGCAATTCATTTTGACTTTCAAATGGGATCCCCACTGGCCAACATCTGGGGCTGAACCCAGGGGCCAGGGGACAGGGCAGAAACCAGGATGCCTGTGTGTGCCCAGGAGAAGCCCACATTAGTCTGAGCACCTGCCTGTGTTTTGAAGGCTGGACATCAGCAAGAGCACAAGAGCAGAGCTCCCCCAAGAAAGCATCAGCCTCACGATTTCTGCTGGCAGAGAGACCTTGGGTGGCTTCTTGCCCTGGGTTCTGCTTGTACCTATCTGAACTTCAGGTGACAGTGCAACATGTATCTTTCCTTTCTCAATAGGAACCCATGAAGCAGGCTGACTTTGTCCGCAGCAAGTCTTTCCTGATGGCCCCAGCTAAGCCCGCTGTGGACAGAAGGCAGGGGACCAAGCTCCACCTCCAGGAGGGGCTGCAAAGAGGGATCTCTTTGTCCCATCAGAACTTGGGTATGAAAACTGCAAATAGTCCCAAACACTCTGAAATATGTTTCTGGGGTGGGTCTTGCAGGTTTGGTTTGGTTTGTTTTTTTTCTAGATTACTCAACACATCGATTTGTTAAAACAGCTTCTAGTTATCATTTCCATGCTATGAAACTCACCTGTTTTAGGTGTACAATTCAATGGGTATTAATAGGCAGTGCATACATACTTACTGAGTTGTATACCCGTCACAATCCAGTTTTAGAACCCTAAAAAATAACCATGTGTGCCTTCTAACGTCATTCACTATTCCCCACCCCAGCTCTAGACAGCCACAAATCTACTTTCTGTCTCTCTATAGTTACCTTCCTTAGACATTTCTTATAAATGGAATCATAAAATATGTGTTCTTTTGTATCTGGCTTCTTTCACTGAGCATAATGTTTGTAGATTCATCTCTGTCATTGCATTTATCAGTAATTTAAAAATTTCTTTTTAACTATGGCAAAATGCACATAACAAAACTTACCATCCTAACCATTTTTAAGGGTGCAGCTCAGCAGCATTAAGAATATGCACACTTGTACAGCCAGTCCCCAGAGTTCTGCAGTTTTATTTTGGAAGTTTCTCCTTACTGTACTTCAGCCTGCCTGGCAGTCTTCTTATCATATAAATTATGTGCCTAAATCTTTTTAAAATTTTTGCACATTAAGGATTTTGTATTCGAGACCACAGTTAAGACCTTGATGCATAGTTTAAAGAAATTCAAGAAGCTTAAGTGAAAATTTAAACTCGTTGCTGTGTTTCTGTTTGTCTTGTCACCTTCCCAGCAGCTCAGTCTGCAGTAATGACGGAGAAGGAATTACACCAGCTGAAGAGAGCCAGTTATGCCAGTGCAGAGCAGCCCTCCTGGATGGAACTTGCCAGAAAGAAATCTCAAGCTTGGAGTGACATGCCCCAAATTATAAAATAGGTTGACAATGTGCTGATAAAAAATGTCCACCACCTTGACAAGTCACTTAGTGAAAAAGTACCACTAAAGGCAAACAAACTGAAACTTAAGAGTGATTTTTATCTTCAGGTTATGGGAGGGCAAGGCTCTGGAAGAACGAACCAAGCAAACAAGGAAGACAGACACACAGCTACAGTCTGGGCCAGCAGATCCCAAAAACAAGAACACCATTGAGAAGGGCCAGGAACAAGGCCCTGTGCCCAAAGGTATAAATGCGAGTCTTTCAGAACCCCTTGATCAAAGGGGCCCCAACCAGGAAGAAAAAGGAAACCAAACATGGATGCATAACTAGGACAGAGAGAACATGTGTTTGCGCCTCCACCTAAGACCAGGTTGTGTGTCTGGTCCCCGTCCTGCTTGTGGATCCTGTCTCCTCCACTCGTGTTCACTCGTGAGCGTGACGTTTTCGGTCAGTGGGGATGCCGTTTCCAAGAAAAGCTGTAAAAGTCAGGTTTTCTGGAGATACTCACTCTGCAAAGGAGCAGAAGGGACACAGCAGGGCACATCAATTCATAGACTGTTTCCAAAACTAATTTTTAAACTTTTCCACTAGGCATCTGTGTCCTAAGCCATTGCACAATACATTGCCTGTTCAATTAAAGGTTTCAAACATGCTTCTGTCATATGTGTAAAAGTTATTTCTACTCATATGTAGAGAATGTCCTCCGGCACTGAGTTAATGAAAAGTGGAGTTTTGCTTAATATAGATCTCATTTAAAATCTCAATTGGGTTGATTTTGGAATTTGTGTTTTTCTTCGAGTTTCCCCCACTGATAGAATTGTGGTGTTTATTTTGCAGAACTGAGAAGCTAATACAGATTTTGTTCTCTTCTCATCTATTTGGTATAACATGAAAAATATGAAATTTCCCAAAATGTTACAAATCCTTAACATCTAATTGATCTAGCCTGCATAGTTCCATTAAAAACTAGGCTTTTGATGCATTAACCAAGATGACCCTTGAATGCAGAATGTGGGCAAGCCAGCAGAGGAAGAACATTTATTTTGGGATCTCAGAATCATGTCTCTGTTATATAATACCTCTATTTAAAAAAACATTTCTAATTTGTTTCTTTTAACAAGCTAATCCCCATGGGAATATGTATACAGCCAAGACATTTAGCCATCGAATCAGTAAGACCTCACATATGATTTTACATATGCTAAGTTTTGGTACTTTTATTGCATTTTTCATCTTTATGAATATTTATATTTTTAGCTGTTAGAACTACACAATTTAACCAGGTTTACCTTTATTGAAAATGTCTTGGGATAGTTTTTTCCCAACCAAATCGATTTATTAATTGCACTGTCTCAGAGAGCATCAATACTGAATGCCATGGTGAATGTACTCTGAACAAGTACCCCATCCACCTAGTCTTGCTCCAAAAGCTTAGACATGAAAAGATTTAACTCAAAAAACAATTCATGCTGGCTACTATTACCCCAAACCATTTCTCCCTAAAACTACAGAGACTGTCTCCAGCTCAAGCGAAGCTGCCAATTTGAGGATAATAAGGCTTCCTCAACCACACTGAGGAGACAACAGTCATCTCCTTCACGGGAGGGAAATCGTCAAGGAGAAAAACACTGAGCTAATACAGGTGCCCCTGCAATGCACTCAGTGAGATGGGTCCTAGATGTGCATCAGTTTTGAGTCGAAGACTGAGGAAGAAAGAAATGGAAAGGCAGCAATCTCTGTATTGGATCCTAAGAGAAATAATAGGGAATTATTTCTATGGCAGCTGCAGTGGTTTTAAAATACACCGCAAAAGTAGAGCCTAATTCACCTCTTGTGAGTGTGAGACAGACTTAATGCTCACTTCTAATTCCAGAATGCAGCAGAGGGGACTTGTGTGACTTCTGAAGTGAGGTGATGAAAGAGGTTGCTGCCTTACCCTGTACTCTTTGGGACTGTCCTCTGAGAGAAGTCAGTCACCGTGTCTTGAGGATGTTATAGCAGACACGTATGGAGACACTGAGGTGGAAAGAACTGAGACCTGTGGTATGGGTTAAGTTGTGCCCCCCCCCCATCACACACAAATTGTATGTTGAAGTCCTAACTCCCAGGATTGGAGACAAGACCTTTAAAGAAGTAATTAAGTGAAGCAAGATCATGAGGGTAGACCTTAATCCAATATGACTGATGTTCTTATGAGAAGAAATTTGATACAGATACACACAAAGGGAAGACCATGTGACAACATGAGCAGAAGACAGCCATATACAAGCCAAGGAGAGAGGCCTCAGAAGAAATCAACCCTGCCAACACCTTGATCTCAGACTTCTGGCCCCCAGAACTGTGAGACAATACATTTCTATTGTCTAAATCCCCAGTCTGGTGGCACTTCGTTATGGCAGCAGGAGCAGACTAATAGGTACCTCCTGCCACTCGCCTGCACCAATTTGCCAGCCATGTGAACGAGCTGCTTAGATTTGTCTGAGTCCAGCCCCAGTCAAGCCTTGGGTGAGTGTAGGCCAGCTGACGTACCGACTATGACCTCATGAGAGATTGCAGGCCAGACTGCCCAGCTAGGCTAGGCTGCTCCTAAATCCTGACCCACTGAAAGTATTAGGTAACAAATGTGTGTTAGCATTTAAGCCACTAAGTTTTGTAGTAATTTGTTACTTAGCTACAGGTACCTAATATGGCAGTTTCATGTTCTTTTTCTGGGTCCTAAAGTGAAAAGTCCTTACTTGTTTTTACATTAATACTTTACCATGTACACAGTATATCTGACACTTCCCAAACTTCCGTCTGCCCAAGGCTGTATGGCAGAGATAGCTAGGGATGTACACCAAAGACCTGTAATCACGTCATGTAGTGTGGAGTTGTTTCTGGAAGCAGATGTCCACCAGCGATCCTATCTCCAGCTGTACCCCTCCGGCCCATCACACACCTGCCTCCACATGAGACTCTGTCACCGAGTTCTGGCTGATGGACTGAGAGCACAAGTGATGGACATCTCACACACAAAGTTCTAACTTTCTAGAGAGGGTCCAGGGAGGCAGCCAAGTTAACAAGGCAGTGTCCTGTGGAAGAGACTTCAGAGAAAGGAGATACTCAGGTCAGAAAGGCCAAGGGGAGGCAGCAGACGTTTCTTCTGGTGTTTAAAGAAAGAGAATTGACTTATTCTATAAAACTCCATAGGGAACAAACCAGGACCAGAAATGAAAGTTCCAGAGAAGGACTGAGACATGTTTTACCTGTCAGAGTTATGCAGCATAACTCCTCAAGGTAGGGTAAGGAGGATGGGACAGGATGCTGGTTAGGTGAGCTCCCTGACTTACAATGAGCAAGCTGTGAAGCAAGCCTGTGGGGTGCAGGGCAGATCTTGGCCCTGGAAAGGAGTTTGGGCTGGGTGTCCAGTCCCAGAACTACTCTAGATCTACAAAGCAGTGCCTTTTACATCCACTTTGTAGTGTAGTTACATTATATTGTTCTTAATTCTAATTATAACCAAGAAGTAACCATCCAGAAAATTATCCAAATGGGCTTTTATGTAGAACGTGGTTGTTCAGAGTGCTTTGAAAGCTTTTTATTACCAGGAGAAGGGAGCCAGGCAGAAGCAGCCAGTCAGCAGATGGGCCTTCCCAGCCCCCCTCTGTAGTTGTTTGTGATGGGGGAGGGGTACAGATCTATTTCCCTAGCCCCACCCCTGAATATTCTGGTCAGCTGTACTGAACTCCCTCATAGAGGGAAATATTTATTTATTTCCTGGTAGATGAAAGTAATCTCTAGCAAATAGGCCTCTTAGGACCAAATATCAGAAATAGTGCAGGCTGAACACATGCCTTCTGGGTAATAGCACAGGTGCTCAGGCAGCAGCTGACATTTGCTTTCTATGCGTTGTCTAGCTTCCTTCCTGTCTTCTCCATAGGGAAATCATCATTACCATGGGAGTAGGGAAGAGCGGTGCTTGTGATGCCCAGATTATTAACAGCAACAACAACAGTCAGGCTGGGTGATGGGGTGTGCTCTAGTCTGCTTATTCACCTCTCCTAAGAGCACTGGAAGCATTTACAGAGAGGCCAGAGGCCTCCAGACTTGTACACCTCTGCTACTACTTTTGCAGAAAAACAGAGATTCAACATTTATCCCACTACCCAATGAAGAATAAGTTACCCCTGAAATATTTCCCCACAGGAATAAGAATTTTGGTATTAAATTTAGTAAAGTGAAAAATTGCTACCAAGACAGAGAAAATGAGGGGCAAATCACTAGGGAGTCCTTTAGACAAAATGAAGCCAATCTTTTAGAAGCTGAAACCTTTAAATTCAGGTGCCCTGTCTTTCTTCTCAAGGGAGGGTGAGGAGGGAAGTGATTGGATTTGTTTTCACTGTTGCCTACCCCTACCACCTTATCTATCATGTCCCCTGGGCAGGGGTGCTGCCCAGGCTCCATGAGGCCTGAGCAGGAGGCAGAGTGTGGATGCCCACTACCTCTCTGAGTGTAGGGGAGCCCTGCAGAGCCCCAGTCTCAGACGGCCCTGTCCTCAGTGCACTGGTGTTGCTGTAATGCTGCAGTAATGAGACACGTTTGTAACAGATGTGGGGCTGGGCACTGAATTAGTTATGGACAAGTTGGGAGCTGGCTTCCTTGGCAGTGGCTGGAGCCAGACATATCCTGGGTTGCCTGCAAACCTTGACGTTCCAGAAGCTCTTACCCTTACAGGCTGTGGTTCTGGGCACCCACTGGTCATTCTGCACTGGCTGTAGCAGGTTTCTAGAGCTCTCTTCTATTTAGGATCTTGTCCCACTGCATGCTGGGCTTTCAAGCTGTTACAGGCCTGTGTCCCCCCATGTTCTTATGTTGAAGTCCTAATCCCCAGGACCTCAGAATGTGACTATATTTGGAGGAATGGCCTTTAAAGTGCTGATTAAACTAAATGAAGTCTTTTGCATGGGCCTTAATCTTATGGCTGTATCTTAATAAAAGATTGGGGCACAAATACACACAAAGAAAGACCATGTGGTAACAAAAGGAGATGATGACCATCTACGAGCCAAGGAGAGAGGCGTGAGGAGAAATCAACTGTGCTGATTACCTTGATCTTTAACTTCTATTCTCCAGAGTATGAGAAAATGGATTTCTGTTGTTTAAGCCATCTAGTCTGTGGGGCTTTGTTACAACAGCCTGAGCAAACTAATACACAAGTCTGGGTGGTCTATATTTTGGATTGAGGCTGCCTCTCTATTCTGAGGCCTGGGAGAGGTGGCCTCTTGGGCCTTTGTGATGAGCCACAAAGAAGATAAGCTTACTGCTTATTTTCTTGAGTGAAAGCTTTGATACTTCTGGCAGGTTATTGTTTACTTTACTTTTCTTTAGTTATTGTTAACTAAAGAAAAGAGAACAATCCCCAGTTTTTTGTCCTCTCTCCCCACCTCCTGACAACTTCATTTCTGTACCTCTCATGAGTCATTAGTACATTCCAGTCTGTAAGAAAACATCAGGGGTTCCAGCCAAGACAGAGGTGTAGGTAGAAACCCTTCGCTTCCTCGCACAACCAAGGGAGGATAACAACCAATCTAAAATCAATAAACAACCAAAATTGCCAGAAAATCAAACTGCA